AATGTTTTGGGGTTTTAAGTTATAAATTAGTATATTTCTTCAGTGGAAGAAGCCTGGGAGGGCGAAATGTCTGGATATTATWACTTGAAATCAAAAATTTTTATTCCTTTTGAAGTCTATGTTAAATAATGATAATGATTATGTTGTTTTCTTAGGGAGAATACATCGCGCCAGAGAAGGTTGAGGGTATTTATATGCAGTGTTACTTGATCAATCAAGTCTATGTCTATGGGGACAGTAGAAAGGTAAGGCAAYCTTACTTCCCATGGACGCTTTCGGTCACGTGAAGCGACGCCATTTTGTTAAACAAGGCATCATGGGTTGTAGCACTTGACCATTTTCATGTCCGCTAAAACAGTCCTCTTGAGCTATTTTCATGTATTTTCTTTTTGGGGGATGAAGCAGGTGTGTGGCCCCACAAAATATAATGATAAATAAATAAATAGATAGATAAATAAATTGATAGGGAGATTTGTGAGGGTTATAACATGGAGGTAAAATGGACTACAACTACCATCATTCTTTTTTGTACACAATGGCCCCACTGCAAATTTTCTATTGATTGTAGTGATCACAAACAAGMGCACGCAAAATGTTTAACAAGTATAAATTGCATGGAGAGTTGAAAACTGAATATCATTGAAAAATTAACAAAATTTAATAACACAAAACCAAGARATTGAGAAATCGAGTCGGAAGACSYAAGGACTAATAAATAAGTWGGACTTAGACAAAGAAAAGTTTCTGCTAGGCTGCCTGTGCTGTCTATGCGCATTAAAGCTATTGAAATCTGGGCTTTCTGTGTTTTAAGGGATTTGGATGGATGGTCTCAATATGCAATTTAATGACCGTCCAATTTTTTCGCAGTCTTGTACTGTTGGTGTCGTGGTGCCCGAYGAATCTCACTTGAAGTCCTGGGCACAAAAGAACGACGTAGAGGGAGAAATCGACCAGTTATGTAAAAATGAGGTAAGAACAATGACTATCATCATGCTATTTATGGCAAAAACCGCGGAGGACAAAGTAGAGAAGAAATTTACGCTTTCCAAGAAAGGTGTAGAACCCTCTAGAGAAGCATTTGTGAGATGCATATACACTAAAAAAACATGACTGGGAAATAACTATTGTATGAAAACGTAGAAMAAAAATATGGCTAACTTTGTACTTTCGTCAAACCCATGTTTCTTCTCGCCAGCATCATGCGAAAGTCTGCACTTATGAAACTACAGCAACAAGTTTAYTTCTTTTTGTTCTACAGAAAGTTCGCGCTGCCATCTTCGAGGAGATGATAGCAAAGGGCAAGAAAGAGAAGCTGTTTAGTTTTGAACAGGTAAAGTCAGCTATTAGTTTTGAACNTTCTGACTCCGACATTGAAATTCAAACGACCCGACATAAAGAACCATTTCAAAGATACATTCGAGGATTTATACAGTAAACTACAAGAATAGAGAAATTATGGTGATTGTTTAGGTGAAGCCACTGTTAATTTTTGAAATTTTACTGAATTTTCAAAGAAACAAAGAAGCCAAAAATGGCAGCCTTAAATTGGTGTCAGAAGGAAATCTTTACTAACAACCTTTGGCGACCATTTATTTCAGTAAATTTAGTAAAATTTCCAAAATCAGCTGATCCTAAGGATCGCGATAGCAGATTTACTGCCAATATTTTATATGAATTTATAGCTCAGGCTACCTATCGTGGCTAGAATTTTAGGAATAAAGGTAACATTTATAAAAGGGATATGTTGGTCTATTGAGCATGAGCAGTTGATCAGTAGTTGATTTCCCACATCTAAAAGGGCCAGTGATAAAAACTAGTAGGAGACTGAAAAATTTGTATTAAAACTGAAATCTTTTGGCTTGTAACTATCAAGTTTCTCTTTGCGCAGTGCATCCATGGTATTTATTCAAATCTCAAGATGACGGTTGTCCTATGAAAGCTGTTGGAGATCCTTTTATAAATACTGTGACCGGGCCAAAGGTCCTCATTCGACTTGAGTTTTACCTTTTAGCCAATCTATCTATCTATGTGTCTTGTCGCGTTTGGATCACCGGAAGTTAAGACTTTAATAATTAACTATTGGGTTGGCTGTGTTATTACATCACCGGAAGCTCAAATGTATAGATGTACTAATATCGTTAGTAAATGTTAAATGCTGCTTGCGCTTTTGTGATAAAAAAATATTCGTTTACAAATGTGGTRTCTGTGATCTCATCGGAATGCATCTGTCTAGGCATCAATAGTACGCGTATGTGCAGATCGCATGGAGCTTCGAGTTGTATATGCTTAGGAATCTAAATAAATGACCWTTCTAGTGTTAGACAGTCTTGTGTGGGCAAAGATTTCAGATTAGAACAAGAAGAAACTTTGTTTATCAATAACAGAAAGGCGAATTTAATGATTTTATAGGCATCTTTTTCCTTGTAAAGTATTTATTTTCTTGGCCTGAGAGGTCAACATATTAGATATCATGATATCACTTAGCCACATTTTGTCTAGCAAGTTTGATTTTATCAGTCAAAGCAAGGACTCTTTTAAAACGTTCTTATCGCATTGATTATATGACCTTTTAGGYCAAGTTTATTTAAAGTCTCAATAAATTTTCCATATTTTGAACTAGACGCTCTTTTTAGACCGTGTGTTCGGCTATTTTGGAAAAAAAAATTAAGAAAWATTTTTATCCATGTAATATCCTGTCTTTCTCAATTTTCAAAAGCAGCTAGTCCGACTTCACGCTCCAAGAGCGTCTAGTTTATTTGTCTCTGTTTCAGATATACGGTGAGGGTATGTTACTCCTCATCTGAGATTAACTACAATATCAATATTTCCCAGTGTTTTTCGAAAACTGAGTCTACGTTACAGACAACTGGAGCACTGACATCGTTGTTCACTTGTTTACTCATTTATCAATCCCAAAATGCACTTCGTCACAAGGCTTTCCGCGATATGGACTCATCAGGCTTATCGAAGACAGCAAGGTCACGAATGGCATTTGATGTCTGATAAGCTGACTCTGTACTGTCCTGTCTCGCAAAGGATTTCTGAGGAAAAGACAATCGCACGGTTGTCTGTCTCTTGGTTTCGCTGCGACAGCGAATTAAAAAAATGCATGGTTTTTCTGGAAACTGTACTACGAAAATGTGTTCATGCTTTGTAGTGCTTTCACTTCAAACACTAAAGAACATATACTCCGATTATCTTTGGGTTAGGTCCTTGGTCTACATTTGGACTACCGGCTCTAAATCGGCCTAACCTTATTCAAAAATGCAAAATGTAGCAAAATGCAGTAATGCAGTACCAATTGAAACCTGCTTTTTGATTGCTCCTTAAGTACAGCACCACTATTGTTAGGTTAGGTTTTGTTATATTGTTGGAAGACTTATCTATTGTTTGTCCATTGTTTTCTCAACCTATCATGAGACCCGTTCCGAGCGGTGCTCCAAAATGTAAACCTTGTAGTGTTCTCGTGATAGATGCCCTCGCCCTTCCCCAGTGAATTTACTTTCGCTTACACTGACCTYGTGATATAGAATTACAACTTTTGTCTGTTCCTGTTTGCATTCCGTAGCATATCATATCGTTTAGAGTCGTGTGAGCATAATCTACTCAATGTTCAAAGTCCCGTTCATTATGGAAGACAAAATGGCTAAGAATCGCTCATCTAAGCTCAACAGTACYGTTGCCGCACTTGTCGCAGTTCTGTCAATTGTTATAGTGCTTTTGTGTTGCGGTGGTGAATTTTTAAGAATCGAGATTCAACTGGAAGACCATGCATGGAGGCTTGATAAGTTTGAGAAGCTGAAAGCAAACAAGAATACTGAAAACAGTGGTGATCTTGTTTCTTCGCAGCATAAACAAGAAATTGAGATCATGAATTCGATGATCTCTGATCAGGTAAGCTTTTATAACATMTCTTGTTACAAGAAAACACTGAGACTTCTTTAAGGACGCAATTTCCGAGCTCTGTATAGGTCAAGTTGTTGTTGTTTCTTTAGTATAGGATATTACATGGGCGCGCGGAGATACGGATTTTAGACATTTTATCTTCGAGTGTTAATAAGATCTCTCACGAGTGAGCGTAGCGAATATTCTGTTTATCACTATTATTATATATATGAGAGCAAATTATGTCGTAAAATAACTTTTTTTACTTCCAATATATAGAGAAAACACTAATTTTGTGTTATACTAATAAAAATAACTTTTAGGAAGAAAGAAATATAGGTATTATATTTAAGAAATATAAAACGGCGCGCGTGTCTCTGTCCTCTGATATATACACAGTGGGAGTTCGAAAAACACGAGAGAAGCAAGCTTTCTCTTGCTTCTCGAGTGTTTTTCAACTCCCTTAGTGTTTATATCAGAGGACAGAGACACAAGCGGCCGTTTTATATTTCTTTTATAAAATGTTTCGAGCGAAAATAAAATTTTGCCGGTAAGCCGTGTCTCTGTCCTCTGATATAAACACGGTCGTCAGCCAATCAGAGCGCGCGTTATATATCAAAAATTTTATAAAGATAATTATAAGTATAAAAATATTTTCTTGTTTTGTGAACAATTTTTGTAATCAGATATTTAATTTTGCTTTCTTTTTCTGTAAAGAGCATTTCTATAATAAATAATTTATATCTCTGGTTCAATAAAGGTTTTAATAGTATTATTGCGTGTCTTCTTAGGCTAAAAGACTAGATCATTTGGAAAGCCAGATTAAAATTCTTTTCAAGAAATACGGTGCAAAAAAGATTTATGGTAATAAAGGTGATCCATGTGAGAATGACGCTCCAGGTCACCCAGACCTGGAACAGAAGAATCTTTTCTCTCAGGCGGAAGGCCGACGAAGCAAAAGAGGGACCAAGCTTAATCAACATGAACTTGCTAAAGCAGTTGAACTCGCAAATTATATTCCAAMGATAATTCAGGCGATGGGGGCCTTACAGCTAGAAAAAAAAGTACCAGGACCGCGAGGACCACAAGGGGAAAGGGGATACCCTGGTCCGCGGGGCTTACCGGGACCGAAGGGAGATATAGGGAAACGTGGTTTTCCGGGAGAAAGCGGATTTCAAGGCCTTCAAGGCATTCAGGGACAGAAAGGAGACTCTTGCTCATTCATCCTAACAAAACCATCAGTAATGATTTCCCCTSCACGTTTGGTTATCGATGAAGGTCAAACGGCCACTTTGTATTGTTTCGCTTGTGGTTACCCACGCCCTGATATTAAGTGGAGTAAAGAAAACGGTTCGATGCCAAAAGAGAGATATACTGTTGACAGCAACGGAAAATTAGAACTGAAAAACGTCACGTCATCTGATTCAGGATATTATGTTTGCAAAGCTAGCAATGATCTTGGTAGTAAACAAACCAAAGCGATAATTGAAGTAAACTTTTCTCCTCGAGTKAAAAAGGGTAATGTAAAAGTCTATAAAAAGATAGGCACTGACATTGTTATGCCTTGTMACGTGACAGGWYKTCCWAAACYAAATGTCACGTGGTCAAAGTCCGTTGGSTCGCTACAGTYGAATSGTACTGTAGCCAAGGATGGACATTTGACACTACTCGTGCTTAGGAAAGAGGATTCTGGGACATATAGGTGTRAAGCTGAAAACCGTCTTGGTTCTGTTACCATGGAAACGATGCTAACTGTTGTTGAGCTGCCAAGATTCACTGTAAMACCTCCTTYATCATTTGCCAYYTACYAYGGACAGACAATTCGCTTGAACTGTAGCGCRGAAGGAGAYCCTCGACCAATAATAACATGGACAAAGGAAAAAGRCGTTCTTCCTGAAGGCAGGTATGAAGTGAAAAATGGTTCTTTGATCCTAAAAAWTGTAAATTCAACAGATTYTGRTGTGTACGTTTGCACGGCAACAAGTGCTGGTGTTTCTGATATACAATCAAGATCGACCGTGAACGTTATCTTTAAAGATTGTTCAGAAGTCTACAAATCAGGAGAGAGACGTGACGGTGTGTACATGGTAGGGCCTGATAGTCAAGGACATTTTCAAGTGTACTGTGACATGACWACTGACGRTGGGGGRTGGACTGTGTTYCAACGTCGTAAAGACGGATCGGTGGATTTTTATCGCAATTGGCAACAATACAAAGCAGGTTTTGGAAACCTGAATGGCGAGTTTTGGTTGGGCAACGATTACATCCATCGACTGACAGCAAAAACACCATCAAGTCTTCGCGTGGAAATCGGGGACTGGGACGGATCTCGGAAGTATGCCAAATATGGYAGYTTTAGTGTMGGTGATGAATCAGACAAGTACAGGTTGAGTGTTGGCGGGTATTCGGGTACAGCTGGAGACTCAATAGCATCTCATAACAACTGGGCTTTTAGCACCAAAGATAGAGAAAACGATGGTCATAGTAGTCGTAATTGTGCAGTTGAGCGTACCGGTGCGTGGTGGTATTTTGCTTGTGCACTATCTAATCTTAATGGAAAGTATTTAGGAAACGTAGTTAAGAATGGTGGTTTAGAGTGGTACTATTACAAAAACAACGATCAGTCTTTTAAAACAAGTGAAATGAAACTTCGACCACAAAAACCATAAGCGCCGGGGACGCTATCATAGGGAGGGGGACACGRAGACTTAATCATATTGATGTTTCCATTGGTACAATGTCCACCCCTATCTCCTAAGAGTTTCCTAAGGCTGTTTTCCAACCCCACTTGGTGACCGAGTCATTCGGAGATGGTAGGAAGATRTKTTTATTGATTATTTCTGGAACTAAACACCACTGAATAAACTTCTAATCTGACTAAATATTTCGATTTCAAAAATCTGTAAATCTCAATAAAATACATATAAAGGGTGCATTATGGGTAATTTTCAATGAGAAATTGCCAACAAAACCCTCTTTAATAGATGTAGAAATTAATCGTGCATTATTTTGTGTGATATGATATTCAGATACCTATTGGGTTTAATATTGGCTAAAAACATATCAGGTAGTTTAACAAATTTTTCATCTTTACGACATCTTTGAGATAAAAAGAGACTGTAAAATTTATCACCAGCATTTTGTACAGCGCAAAAGTTACATTTTCTATTGTTATAAACAATGTTATCATAGTGGTAGAACAGATTCTACTGGTAACTTATGTGCTGAAATGCTAAAATGGTGCTAACAACATATAAGTTGAATTTAAGTAGAATTGACCTGAAAGGTCTAAACAACAGATATGGTAACGTACGTAGCATAACGTAGCATAATAAGCTTAGCCAGTRTTTTTTTCGTTASCTATTGAGCTACACAATTTAATAARCTAAGTATTTAGTATGATTAATAGGCATTTTATATGAAATGGTCACATGGTCAATCTGGAGGGCAAAATTCCCACTGGGATGTCCAAAACAAAGAAAAGTCAAGCTTAACGGGCTACGTTCCTTTGATTTTGTGGTTGTTTACATTCTTTTTCCCTCCAGAATGGCGAACTAACTTAGTACCATGCAAAAAGCCTAATGTTGATTTCGATAAATTGTAATGCATCAATGAGAAATGCTGCTAAGTAATTCTAGCATGTTCATATTGCTTAAATGAAATAGCTGATCAAACGATATTGTCTCGTTGATTGATTGTTCAAATTGACCTAAAAGCCATGTATTTGATTTATTAGCTCGGATCATCCTCCAACTCTGAGGCGAACGCTTGTTCACTAACTTTCATTTGGCGTTGGTTGTTATCAGTGGCATGGAATCCCATTCGTGATTTTGAGCGCTGAATTTGAAACACAGTGTTATAAATAGTCAAATTATTTAGCTTACAATTGTTATTTTCAACTGAAGAGCAAAGGAACGAAACAAAATGCATACATTCTACCTCGGAACATCTTTATTTAGTCATCTCCGGACGGCTTTACGTCTTGAATGAACGAAAAATTATGCTTATTTACACGTCACAGTACTTAGTATTAAGTCACTAATTTCCCGCGCGCTCCTGAATTCATAGCTCCGACAAATCAAACGCGTCATTCGCGCGCGGGGGATTGGCCAATCAGAAAAGAAGACACGTAATGGTAGCCATGTTGTGCCAGAAAAAATGTAAACAGAGATGATTTGAGGTGTTGCTATACCTGGAGCACTTGTRAAGCACATGCGCGCTACACAGCGCTGGTTAAATGGAGGAAAATTCATTCTGTTCCCTAAGTCAAAAACTAATCTAGAAAAATGCTCGAAGGGGATCCGAAGATCTGCGGACAAAAGCACGAAGTGCTAAATGTTAACACATAATAATTAAATCCTTTCTCTAGGACTTTAAGAATTAAAGAAACAGAAATATTATCAGGAATTTTATCAACAAATCGTCGGAAGACTGTCACTTATGAAAAGTCGAAAGCATTTGTGGGACAAGCCGTACAAGCCGCGAGCGTTCGATCCCCGCGCTTTCTTCTGATTGGCTAATCGCACGCTGGCGCTTGATTTGTCGGAACCCATGAATTGTTTGCACATATGCTCTGTTTTGCACATGCAAAGTTTGCTCAAGGAGTCTAACTTTTTGGACCAAGTTTTTTCCCTTTAGCTCCTCAACGACTTCTGCAAGTACACAAACATCARACTCAAATATTGACTGATGTTAATCTTCGAATCCGATTTTTGTGTACTTGCTCGATGTCAAGAAAAACAGTTTCCCATCTTTATACATAAATATATTTTTCCTTTTGTGAGCATTTAACGTCTTGAATGAACGAAAAATTATGCTAATCAGTACACGTCACAATACTTAGTGTTACGTCACTAATTTCGCGCGCGTTCCCCTGAATTGTTTGCGCATGCTCTGTTTTGTACGTGCACAGCGACCCGCTTGTTTTGGTCTGCGCGGTACCCCCGATTCTTGTGTTGTACGTACGCCTTCACAGTGTTTTTCATTTTTGCACGTACGCCTGAACATATTTTTCGAGAGAGCTTGCAGATAAAATGATCATAAAAATTGAAAACAGAAACCACTGAGACACAATTGAAGATCAAAGTGACTTTTAGTTTAGATTCCTTTGATACACTTTTCTATTAGCTTTCCTAAAACAAAAGAAAGAATGTCGTCATTGACATTTCGCAATTTTATCCGACAACCTTTTTTTAAATAGCGATATATATATATATATGCAATGCCTAAACATGGACAAATGAGACAATGAGAAATGACAAGAAACTGTCGATCGTTCTTAAAATGCGGTCGCCGACGAAATTTTCATCTTTTATAATCATCACTCAGTTACACAAGTTGAAACTCATTAACATGACAATGGCAAACCACAAAAAGAAGGACAAAAAGATCCCAAACCCAAGGCGTTAACTGAAAAGACCCCTCATATCAAATCCCAACGATTACTAGAGAAGGTCCGGACGACTTCCAAGTTAGTTACGTGAACCGAGCCTGGAATTHAATTGCATTCAGACCGTTGTTCCGAAGTTGTTGATTCTGACGCAGAGAAGAATCATGAAGACGCGTCGACACATTCAAGACGACGCCTTGAACGAACAGTCYGTTGAAGTTGAGGTAGGCCAAGRGTTGAGATAATAAMCAATTCAATTCGTGATAAAATTTACTTAAAATTCACATAACCAAATAGAAAACTACTATTTGGAAGCGTGTTGACACGTATCGCGTGCGTGCCCATTCAACKTTTTGACGAACAGATYRAGATTTTAAATTCAGCTTTTTCCTCTTTGGATGTTGATTATATTATAGTTTTGGACAGTCACGCACGAAGCTTAGAGGCATAAACCGTCTTACATCAGTTAAAAATGTTTTCATAATTTGTACTCTATAGGGAATGGTGTTTTATAAGGTTATAGCCGTTGATTCAATCACAACCATCCATTGGACTCAATTGCTTTTATTGTTCGAGAGTACAGCGTTTGGTTGTAAAATTTAAACRAGCATTTGTACAAATTAAAGTTATTACATAGATCATCTTAAAAGGTCTTAAAACGAATTAGCCACGTTGAAATACTACGAGCGTATTTCACTACTTTGAGATGAAAACTACTCAGATAACAAAACATGCAATGAACAAATGAAATAATGTGGTACATAAGCTAGAATCTTGGCATTATAGAGTTTTGTACGGAGATTTCACACAGTACATATGTTTAAAATCAATGCTAAAGGATTTTTGCATAAGCAGAAACCAATTTTATATAACACTAATTGTAAACTAATCCTACATACTCGGTAAATCGTAGATTTAATGGACACTTCAAAACCACACGCGCTTTTTATTAAGTTTAAAGTATTGCTGTTAGTAAACATTATAATATTTGAGCATTTTGAAATGTTATTTTTCCCTTCAACTAGTAGAAACAAATTGTGAAGAAATCATAAGTTATACACATAGCTTATACTTTAAATGAATGCTAAGGACGTTTCTGGCGCCTTAGTTACTTAGTCCTCGTTAAGTTTCTTCAATTCTTCGAAGTTGGGCAAACTGGTCATGCATGGAAAGTCCGAATGTTGGACGCTACTAGTACTGTTTCTTTTTCAATAATGAAAATATTCAGTCAACAAACTGGGGTTTTTTGAGTCCAAACTGCTTTTTTAGAATCAAGTTGGTAAGAGATTTTAATGTTAATACTAAAAAGTTTATCATTATCATCATTATTACGAATTCAGATTCTTTCCAGCATAAGACAGAACGTTACT